AGATGACCCGGAATCGCAGTGTTCCGGCGGCGGTTCCAGGAAGATGGTCATGTTGGATATATTGTCGTGGACATGGACGTGTGCAGCAGGTGATGAGACGAGTCGGATCGGTGTCACGGGTGCACAACCTCATCTCGTTTGAGGGACGGTGGGTAGATTGTCATCTCCAAGCGTCATGGCGGATGGAGCGTCTGTGGTGTGTCGGTGCCAGAGCCCAAGCAAGGATAGGGCAGAGAAGGCGAGAAGGCTGTGACTGCAATAGTCAGAAGTCGAGTCACGATGATGGTCGTGGAGCGGTGCTGTGTGTAGGGCTAAGCTTTGGAGGAGAGAACGATGGGGACGGCGAGGCTGTGATTGGCCGGCGCGGGAAATGGTTCGACGCAGGGTTCTTTGCGAAGCCGAGAGTCTTGGCACCTTCTGCTTTTGTTCCACCAATGGCCCCATCACGGCCGCCGTGTTTTCTCCACACTACACGCTCTCCCTCACGCAAAACACAAAACACAAACATACGCTCGATTCCAGTGCGATGGCCTGGTCACAACCTTGCTGTCAAGTCCACCCGAAAATCTCCTCGCCCTGAGCTAACGCCTGAAATCCGGGGCGCTGGCGTCGCACGCTTGCCTGGCGGCGATCCAGATCCACATGCAAAATTGGCATTTAGCCGGCAGAACGACAGCGCCATGTTCCATCTCCGACTAGACTAAGTAGAGTACCATCTACTTACTCTTGTTGTATCATGAATTGGTATTTCGGTCAGGCTCGGCATCAGCGGCAAAGGCGCCTGTACCAATCCGGCCTTGTCCAGGTACCCCTGACCCAAACCTGTCGTGGCTGTCCTTCCACTGTATTGGAAAAAAATCGTGGCTTCCACTGCGATCAGTCTTTGCACAACTGCCGGACATGCTATGTGTGTGTCTTTAAGGGCAGGAATAGACTAAAGTGCACTTGCAGTTTGCCACTTGACAAACTGTATCTGAGTTGCAAATGATGCTCGTTCGGCTATACTTAGTCTGCAGTGATAGGACGTCTCATTTCGGTTGTGGTGCAAATGTGAAGATCATCATGACGGAGTTTAGAGTCGGTCCGGCTCTCTCCAGCGCTGTAAATCCTTTGGTAATACGGGTCTAAGTCCAGAGGTTTGAGATACACGGCTTGGTCATGGCCATGCCGAACTCTATGGTGGAGGTGGCCTGAAGCTCCTGAAGACGGATTACAAACGGTGCATACAGCTCTTACGCAGTAGATCAGCCACCAGAGGCCTGGAAATGAAACCATCAGCCAAAGCGACCGGCCATGGCAAGGGTCGGAGGTTTTTTTGCTCTGGACAGATGCAGCTAATTGTTTGGACAGGTCCATTGGGGCAGTCCAGATGATGCACTACCCTCTGGACTAGTACTGGGCGATGGCGTTAGTGTACTACACAGCAGTGCAAGCCCCAGGTCGTCCCGGCTTCATGTTACTGCATCGCCCATGCAGCGCAACACAAGGCAACGCAACGTTGAGCTCGTCTTTCCAGGGTACAATGGCAGATTTGACATGTTTCATCTGAGGTCCGGTGAAGCATGCCGAGTAGGATTGGTGGTGCAGGAAATGGGGGCCTCGGACGAAGCTTCAGGATCATTAAGCAATCTCTGACCTGGCAAGCTGACGACCAAGCGACCGTTCGTGCTATGGAACATGTCGGCGCACCTGGGCTATATCGAGCATAGCAGCCAGGAAGTGTGGGTGACGGGTCAGGAACACTCAGCTCCTAGGCTATAGCTCGCCGGCGATAAGGACCAGGTCGTCTTCGTCTTGCGCCTGCACCTGCGACTACTGCGCCTCAACCTGTTTTCTTCCTGGCCCAGCTCATCTCCTTCTGCGCGCCCCGGGTACTTGTGTGCGGGCGAACGCCTGCCCTCAGAATCTGGACGCGCCCTGCCCCACTGGCGAGCCCAGCTCAGGACAAAGAGACGCTGGGGCCCTTTCAAGGAAGCTATCGCGGGACGCACCTAAAGTCCGTTACGGCATTGGCCAGTGCCTGCGAGGGAGCGATGCTGCTTCGAGTTTGGCGAGAGCTGTGTAGATCGACGTCTCTGTCAGTGCCTGCGTGCAAGCGAAGTGTCCGACCAGCACCCACACACCCTCCCACTCCAGTCAACTATCTGCCCCGCCCTCCAAACCATGCAAGTGGGTACTGCGGATAGGAGCTGAGTGAACGGCTCGCACCCATCTACTGTCCTGTTCGTACATACACGCGCATGCACGCACGCATGCACGCAGCGCAAGCATCTACGCAAACTGGGGGGGGGGGGGGGGGCGTCTCCGACATCAAAGCCACGAGTATCACTTCAGTGAGGCTGAAGTCGTCTTCTGTCCTTGGATTCGTTGTATATCTAGCATGCGTTGTCAAAAGGCCACGGTCTTGCTGACCCCAACAACGCCACACTCGCCCATTCCGTGGCTCTGACACTGCACCCACTGGACGGGAGCAGCAGGCCCCTTGCAGTAGAGACGGTGCAATTGCCTATCCCGGTACTTGCGCCATCGCTGACGGCGGGACCAGATTCCAAGCTTGTCGATATTAGTCCCTCATGGATGTCCTCTTAGTGCACACCTCACCGATATTTCCAAGGCCGTCTGCCCTACTGACAAACTTCGCTGCCCACCACTAGCCGCTCTCTTGTACCTTGCATGTTGCCTCAAGCCAAGCCAGCCTGCTCGCTATAACCCGCAACACTCCTCTCTCTCGGTGCGCCGCTTAGCAAGACCGTTCTTTGTCTTGCCTTGTTTCGTCCCGCTAGTTGCGTGCCATCTTGCCACGGCGTTGTGGAGCGAGGGTACACGCATGACCTTGGTGTCCGCCCGTCTTACCCCCCTCCACCTGTCCCGCACTACTTTATCCGTATCGCCCTTCCGGGTTCATATCAAACAGAAGTGGACTCTTTCGTCTACCGCTGTCGTTTCGTCGACCGCCCCCATCAACAATTGCATCCGCGTCAACCGCAGCCAGCATGATCATCATCCGATAGACGTCACTCCTTCACATATTCAACTCGGCTTCTCATTCACGACACCCCTACTGACTGTCTACACTTCCACATCGACACCGCCATCATGGAGCAGGAAACCAAAATCTACATCATCATTGGTGCAGTCGCAGGCTCGCTCGTCGTGTGTGCCCTTACCCTTGCCATTCTTTGTGTGTGGACAAGATCCCGCAGGAAGATGCGAGGCTTCTCATTACGAGCAGTCACACCACTGGACGATGCTGAATTCGAATCATGGCGACGACCCAGCCAATACAACCAACGGCTGGATGAGTATGGCATCCGACCATCAAACCGAGTTATCTTGCGAGACCGTGTATCGCCCAGGACCCCATCTTTCTTCGAGAAGGAGCTCAGCACATACGACTTTCCGCCAAGGACACCATCATTGACAGACGCTGTCTCAATCAAATCACCCACAAGCTCAATACAGAAGCCGGAGCGAGCACGAAGAAAGTCCAGTGTTGCTTCATCACTCGCTGATCGACCACCAACCCCATACTCTCCTTGTTCACCCAGTGGAGAGTTCAACCGTGGATCGGTATCTTCCCGTCGGTCGCAGCCTCTGATACATTACCCGTCTGTATCTGAGGCCTCTGCATTCCGCTTCAATTTCGAGGCTGAGCAGAAACGCAATGGAAACTGGATATAATTTCCACTCCTTGACTCCTATACTTCTTGTAATCATCTTTACCAACCTTTCGTCACGAGCGGCCGTCTGCATGAGCTGCTGTCGTTCCAGTACAACCCCAGCCGGGTGGTACATTGGCTCGACAGCTGCGTGCGTTACCATGCACTGTGTTCCGCTACACCACTTTGGAAACTATCACCAAACCGGATACAACACCATTTACCTTCGCGACATTCACTTCGCATACATATATTTTACGACCACATATGATTTTTACCCTTGGAGTTTGGCGGCGCTTTGTGATTATGATACCAGACCTTTGCGTCATCTACATGGGCCTAGAGCCTCTTTTTCTTTTGTTCGAGGACAGCTCGCCGGCCAATTGCCGAAGCACGCATTAGGCGTGGAAGGGAGGATAGCGTTGTAGGATAGGCAAACATGTATCTGAGTATCAGGTAGACAGCTGGGTTAACCAGCGAGAGACTAATTTCTCTCAACATCAGATAGGAATAACAATTCACACACACATTTACCATCATGTCGGTCTTCTCACAACCATTATCATTCGATTGCGTGACACTACTATTCACTACCACTTAATCCCCTCTCTTTGAATACCCACCAGACGGACGAGCATCTCGGCTCCACCCGCGGTTGACAAGGAACCCACAACAAGCAACCCGTCTCAGAAAAAAAAACCCCTTGGCTCCAAAGTGACGCCACCCCGTGTTGCGTGCCGATTTTCCAACCCACAATCTCCGTGCCTTCTACACACACCGCCAGTTTGCCACAATCGTCCTTCTTACCTTCTTTCGGCACTCATGCACCAGGTACTTCCCTGGATAAACCCTTCCTCCACTTTTTTCCTTCTGCAACATCCACATCTAGAATGTGATTTTCTTTTCTCATTCGCTTTCTTCGCCCCGCTTTTTTCTACGCTCTTTTCTCCGCAAGCTAAAACCTTTAACTTGGCTAATTTCATTGGGGAGGGGGGGGGGAGAAATGGGTAGGAGCCAAGACCATGGGAATGTCATTACAAAATAGTAGATCCGGTCTTCGGCCCGCGATGTACAGCCGCAAAAGTCGCCAGTTTTCTTATTTCCTTCTTTTTTTCTCGGAATTTAAGATTAAAAAGAAAGATCAGGGAGTTTCATTTTGGGGGAAAACACGATGATGGTACGAGGTGGGGATAGTTTATTTTTTGGGCGGGTAGAAAGTGGAGGTGGATTGAGAAAGCGGGATGGACATGACCCGGAGTAGTGTGCTACTGGGTTGTGAACATAAAGTGGTTTGCATAGTAGTGTATGTACATACGGATGACTGAAGCCGGTCGAGTGTACATGGGATTTTCTTGGTGTGAGTGGGGGGTCTCGGGTAGATCAGGTCTCATCATTTTTTTTCTCCTATCATATGTTCCTTTTTTCCATGACTTCTTCCGTACTACTTACCCTTTGATCAAGGGTTATTATCTGCACACAACTTTTTTTTGGTTGGACAGGGGTGCGTGGGGTGATTAGGCTGCTTGCCGTTTTGGCCTCGTTTGTCGAGTTGTGCATAACGTTTTTTTCTGCAACGCCAAAAACGGTTGCGTTGAAGCGCAGCAATATGACGTGCAGCTGTATCAATCACTTGCGTGTTGCGTGGGTCGCGGCTACTTTGAGTCAAGAGCGGGATGTAACAAAGTTGCTTGTTGAGGAGCGGGACAAATACACGTGAAAAAAGGGTTCGAGACTAGACCGGACGTGGAAGAGAAACAACGTGGACAGTTTGTCACCGCCGCGAAACACACGCGAAAGGGGAATATTCTCGTCCATTTTGAAACTTGATGTTTTTGTTTTGCATGTAGCCCTGCTGAAACCCCTAGATCTTGACGTTTCCGCGGTCGTACTAGCACGTAGCTTTGTTTGTTTTCTGGAAGGGTAGAAAGGATCACTGTGTTCCAACACTTCCCTTTCACAACTTTACTACTTACTGCGCTTGCGCTTTTGCGATCCCCGCAAAACAACAAACACACAACGCGTCTCCCTCATCGCGTCCCGCACACGACTCGCCACTTTACTCTGTAAGAGAGCAAAACGAAGCGCAAACAGCCCAATATGGATTTCGTACAAGGTAAGTTTGCAACCACCACTTTAAACAGTGCATATACTCGCGCGCACGCATGCATGCGCCACAGCAACACCTATATCTAACAGAATCAAAACAGACTACGCCGCTCTCCTCCCCCGCCTCCTCCCTCCCTCTTTCGCCGACCCCGCCCTCCACATCATAACCACCTTTCTGGGCCTCTCCCGCACCCTCTCCACGCACCTCTCACCCCTCCTCAACAAACTCATCACACAACCGGATGTCGCCTCCATCGTCGCCCTACTCTTCATCTTCTTCATTTCGCTCAAGATCCTCGATATGATGTACCGCGCCGTCGTCTTCTGGATCAACCTCGCCTTCCGCCTCGCCTTCTGGGGCGGCATCTTGGTCGTCGGTTTGTGGGTGTGGAATCGCGGGCCAGAAGGGTTCGTGGACGATGTGAGTGGGTTGATCGAGTACTGGATGGGAGAATATGAGAGGTATAGTGGGGAGGTCAAGATGTTTCAGCAGCAGAAGGAGGATCAGATTAGGTTTAAGGCAGGACAGCAGCAGAAGAGGAAGGGATGGCGGTAAGGTGGGGATTTTGAGCAAAATATGAAAACGTTGGCAGGTTGCGTGTGTTTTTTCTGGAATACCATTGGTTTGGATCTCCCGAGAAAGAGATTCATGTGTTTGGCGCAAAGATTGGGTTTGGTTATGTGCTTCTTATGGCGCAGGGGATGTTTGTGCAAAGATATGGTTATGGTGATGAGGCGGATATCAGGATACTGCGGCATATGGCTGGCTGGATGTATCTCTTAGGACACGGTGACGGCTTTTGTGTAAGCCTCAGATCAACGAATAATGATATTGATGCAGTATGTTCTGGTATTGTACGGGCATTTTGACTGATTGAGCACTGGTCTCAGTGGCCTCTCAAATCACAGTACCCTATTGAACAGTACAAAATGATTGGTTGCTACTCTGGAAGAAGTGATAAAGACGAGCTATTTTTTACACTCATTGGTGACAGCTTGAATAAGAAAGCGATAGTCACTAGAGTTGCGGAGATGGTCACACAGTGTGTTCGTTAAACAAACAATCCATTTCCAGTTTCACTCTCACCTCTGTATCCGCTAGCATTTTTTGATATCTTACGTTTCACTCTCACATCCCTTACGCAAGCGAAATGTTTCTGCGCACAGTCAGCATATATTCGTCTGCCTTGAGCGCTCTATCCTCTTTACCCTCTTCTTCAACAAACTACCTTAACCAATCTATATAAGCCTTTACCCTCTTCTTCGACAAACCACTTCAACATTTACACATAAGGTTGTCCGACAATATGCAAGCATTTAAAAAGAACGAAGGTGACACCGAAAACAACATGGAGTTGTTTGCACCGCACATACCGCCGGAGGTGCTGCAAATGGTGTTTCATGAGCTGGATTTCTTCGATCGTAAGTCGCTTGTGTGGATTCTTGCTGCTTGTACTATTCGGTTAGGTTCCGAGAAGTACCATGTATGTGTGCTGACTTTGGATCTAGTCCTACATTGTCAGCAAGTCTGCAAGACCTGGTGTGCGTGCCTTCCAGGCAACGACCCGAAGCTTCGTGACAAGCTGTTCGTGAACCGTACCATGACACAGAATTCCCAAGATGATGGCGAAGACAAGGAGAAAAATGGACACCGTGAAGTCTCCCATACTTTGCTTCTGGGTTTCGATTTAAAGGCCAGAGAGTGTGGAGTAGGATCGAGAAGTTACTTGATCACATCCCCAACCGTCATCTTTCCGGGGTATGCCTCCCTTGGGTCCCGTATCAACAACGCTTCAGAAGCTATTACAGTCCATCCTGTGGTCAAGAAACTGCACGAATACCTTCACATCATCTTCGGCTCCTTGTTTGAAGATGATGATGATAAGCAGCAGTGGCATCAAAAATACTACACACGCAACGACCTGATGGATGCGATTGAAGCGGCCGAGCAGACAGCCAAAGAGAAAAATGAGTCATGGAAGGACATGCTAGTATGTGTTCCGCCTCTTTCGGGGATCAGATTTGGAATCAGAATTGAAGTACACCTCAGACGAAGTGGAGGCTCTTTCGTCAAGGCCACTGAACGCTATGTGCGCCACGGTGAGATCTATACCGAGAACAAAAGTGGCATAACCCTAGGTCAGGTCATTGATGTCATTCACGAACACCTAGAAATTTGGGCAACAACATGAAGCCCCCCTACCATCTGGGTCGGCTATCTACACACTGGGCTTGTCGGACAGATTACGTAGAAGTATTGGTTGAGAAAATCTACGAGAGGACTGGGTTACGTAGCTCTGGACTGCGATTAGTCCATAGTTCTGAGGACGTGGATAAGTATGGAGATGTACGGTAAAATGGATGGAGGGATGGCGAGAGATTGAAGGAGAATGGCAGCTCGACAACCCCAGATATGTGGATTTCGTTAGTTGCAATTGAAGGATGTCACAAATTAACAGAACTCAAAGCTTTCCACAAACAATCAACACATAACATCAGGGTGCAAAAGATGTCGAAGTTCAAGAGAAGAGCTACCATGTCCCCCGCAGCCAAGTGAGCCAATGACGTCGCAAAGCCCCCGCAAACCTCCACCAACACCTCCGCTACGTCGCGTCCCCCAACCAAACAACGACAACCGCAACGGCAGTCGCACCTACACCAACACACGTCAAAGTCTGCGACCATGGCAACTACATCCTCCTACCCCCCGCCCGTACCCAACCCCACGTCTTCCTCCACACCCTCCAACACAGCCTTTACCTTCCCACCCCACTACTCCTTCCCCCCCTTCTTCACCCTCCAACCTGTGGCCAGCACCCGCAGCTCGCAACTCGCCTCGTGGTCCACGCTCATCCAATCCTACTGCCGACACCACCGCATCTTCACCCTCTCGCTCATCGACGCGCTGTCCACACCCTTGTTCACAAACGCCACTCTCCGCCGCAGCCTCTCCCTCCGCGACGCAAAAGCAATCCTCACATACATGGCTTCGCCTGAGGGGGGCAACCGGGCGGAATTCATAACGGCGGGCACAAAGAAAGGCAGTAAAGTGGAGGAAGGAGAAGGAGGCAAAGTGTGGGTGTACTGGCGTAGACCGGAGGAGTGGGCGACGGCGATTGAGGAGTGGGTGGAGAGGACGGGGCAGAAGGGGACGGTACTAACGCTTTATGAGATTGTGGAGGGGGATGCGGTGGGCAAGGAGGAGTTTGCGGGGATGGATATGGAGTTGTTGCAGAAGAGTCTGGGGGTTTGTGTTAAGAGGGGGAAGGCGCAGGTGTTTGGGAGTGGGGGGGAGGGAGAGGGTGTGAAGTTTTTCTGAAGGAGAATCGGGGCTTTTTTGGGGGGGGGAGGAGGAAGGGGTGGTAAGAGAAGCGTGGAAATGATACCCAAATGAATAGATTTGCATATTGTGTTTGGAGATGGTTCTTTTTGTTGGATGAGTGGGTGGATGGGTTTGCAAGACGGAGGGATCTTGCTCATCATGATTGCACAAATGCCCTTTTTTATTCTGTGTTTTTTTTCCACCAACCAACATGTTCCTGTACACTATAGATTCGAACAAGTCACACCTTCTAAATCAATCCTCGGAAGATGATCTCAACTCTGAAACCCTCGACGCGGCATCAAGCTATGAGCGACAGAAACACAGTTGTAAGTACATTGCCAGCCGAAAAAAAGAAGACACCTATCTAGATACCAATCCATCGGTATAATTGCTTACCTACGTACGCCGGGGCATAAAGATAACGTCACTGAGGCATCCCTGCAGCGTAGTTCTTACACAAAACAAGCTATCGTATAGGCGTCAACTTTAGCAAAGGCGGACAGGAGGGCTTTGAAGGTAGTGTATGCCAAGACTTGGCTGTATGGGAGCATGATGGCCTAGTGAGACGATAGTGTGCGGGGATGCAAGAACGGGCAGCGGCATAGATGCGAAGAACTGTTTTTCTTTTTTCATGAACGAGAGATGACCGTTGGATTTAGGGGTGGAGATGTGTAGTTCGCATTGATGGCGCATCTCAACTTGGCGCGTTCAAACAGACATTGTCGGAAGAGACGCAGAACGGTGAAAAGAGAGCGTTGTTTGTTGCTCAGCAATGACAAAGCAGAGGGCTGTGTATGTCAGTCTAGATGTCTGCTGGGATCATGGTAGTGCTGGGGAGTGTAGATCTTAGGTGGGCGTGTGGATGACCAGACCGGAGGATGTACTATTCGACCGGCTACTTCAGACAGAGTAGGTTCGGCTTGGCGGTTCGAAAAAGCGGAAGATGGGAGCGGTTGTGTTTTTCCTTCTCGAGGCTAGACTAGCAGCTTGACGATTGTCTTGGAGATGGGGGTCTGCGACACTTTGTACGACAGAAGTGTCACTGGTCTGTGGTGTTGCTCTGGCCAATGGTTGGGAGGCCGTGACATGGGCGTACAATGATCATGTTGCTGCTGGCAAGCGTACCTCGTATACTTTTGTGACGTACATATATCGGTACTTGAGCGTGGGATACTTAAGTTTAGACTGTGGAGCAGAAAGCAAAAAAGAGAGATCGCCGCAACAAACAGTGGCATGGGAGCGGGCCGTCGGCTAGTGTGAAGTCGGAGCGCACGGGTCACGGAGTTAGCGCAACCTTGTGGCTGTGTGTGGTTGCTGGTTGTTGCAGGGACCGGGTTGGTTGGGTGGATGGATGGCTATGATAAGGCATTATGTGTGCGATGGGGACTACATGGATAATGACAAGGGAGGAAGGGAGAGGGCGAATAGAGAAGATGAAGGTTCGACAGTTGCATGGAAAGCCGTATCCAAGTACCAGGCAGGTACTGTATCTGGACGAGGGGTGGTAGCCGCGGGCAGTGAGTGCGGGGGGCGCTTTAAAGCTAAGCAGCAATGGCTCGACAGTAGATGCTCCGGCAGTGAGGGAGCGATGCTAGCCAGGCAGTTTTGGATTGCGGTTGCGCCGACCAAAAGGCGGCTGACGGTCGTTAGCTAGCGCCCTGTCGGGTAGAGCGGAGACGCAGATTACTGCAGGACAACGCACCACGGACAGCAGTGCATGTCTGCAGGGACGCGTGCGTGCAAGAGTCGTCGGTCAGGGCCCTGGGGCAGCAAGGCGAGCGAGCGAAATGAGGCATACCGGCGTAGATATAGGCAGAGCCGCCCGTGAGTATGTTCTTATAGGCAGATGAAGCAAAGGGCAGGCTATTTGTGGGTGTGGCTAGAGGGAGGATGAGACCGAAAAGCAGATTCGGGATAATTTTAGGCCAGGAACCTCATTTCCCGGTCCAGGGGCGGGCCAATCAGCGGCGAGCACGCGCGCTCAGTCCAGGCCGTGACCGTCGCAGGTCGCGCGTGTCGCAGCTTCCCCCAGTCGGTCGTGCCTTCCTTCTTCTCCCACGACTACGTGTGCGGCCCTCGCAGCTTCCCTACCCACTACGCTCATTTTTGCATGTTGCGAGCCCGGCCGCCCTGTCCCTTCTGCTAGGCCGCTCCACCGTCAATATACGTCGCGCCGTCGCTGTTTCCCCCCCATCCCCGATCCCTCTGCTCTGCTCTGCTCTGCTCTGCTCTGCCTTCACCGCCGTCTATTCCCCCCCAGGCACTGTCGCCAAACAACCACTAAACCGCCCGCTCAAGCAATCCACGGCCCCCAACCTCCATGCCGCGCATGGCCTAGTCACCTGCGCGTCTCCACGTCGATACTTTTGTTCTGCTCCGGTCCCGCTTCTGCAGCCTTGACTCCCTCGGCACAGACAGCCAGCCTTCACGCCTACGCCCACTGTTCCTTCTCAGCATGAACCCATGCCTGCCCTGCCATGATGCGAGCCATCCACCTGCTGCACGCCGCCAAAAGCAACTACGCATAGCCTCAAAAGCCCCCGCTGCCGCCCTCCTCGCTGTCCTTGCCGCCTCGCTCCCCTCGACAATGGCTCAAAGCTGCGTCTCGCTCGCAGGCTCAACTACCTGCCCGGCTTTTGCCTCGGCCTCGATCAACACCAACCTGACCGGCAACTTGTACGTTCAACAATTGTCCACACTGGCCCACCAGAAGCAATGCTAATGCCAAGCAGTCCCTTCCTTAAGTTTGTGTCAAACACCCAGTCCTTTGACGAAGGCCTGAGAAACTACATAGCGACCGGTTACGCCCAGCGACAGTCAGTTTAGCCCTACCATGAATGGCTTTTACTGCGCAACATGACTAACACCTATTGCCAGATACGAGGACATTCTCGGCTGTTCAAGAGTCAATCTTACTAGCACTACCAATCTGTATGCTCGCTTTACAACAACAGTCTTGTGCAATGCCATTGTCCAGTCTTCAAGGCAATCTTGTGGCCTCAGTGACCAAGCCGCGACACCGCTATGTGCTGACGCTTGCGTATGTAGATTGAACTGCCCAGCTGCACCACCATACTGACTATCTTTAGGCCGACTTTGCCATTAGCGAACAGGTGATAATATCAAGTCCGGACCTCTGTGGCACCCCTGGCAACAACGCAGTGCCCCAGATCCGCTCAGACTTTGCCCGTTGCTCCAATCCTGCAGACGCCCTTAGCACCAGTTGCATTGAAGCCGTGAAGAACGAGCCCGCAGAATGTGGTTTCCAGAACAACCTTGAAGGACTGTGCCTGTTTTGCGCTGGAAGCACCGCCAACTCGACCGATACCTGCTGTGTCAATGCCAATGTCGAATCCCGCTGCCAAAATGTTAATCTCCCTACCACCATTTCCATGCCTCCTGTCTTCCCAACTAGCACCTCGTCTGCTTCACCAACCTCCACAGCAGGTGGAGCATCCGGTGGACAGAACTCGAAACAGGGACTCTCGGGAGGTGCTATTGCTGGCATCGTTATTGGATCTCTTATTGGTGCCGCCCTGGTAATTGCCGCTGTCATCTTCTGTTGCATGCAGAGGCGCAGACAAAAGTATAGCCAGGCCGGTAGCGTTTTCAACACTCCCTCGCCATCGCGACACCACTCTTCCAAGGGCAATCCCGTGCCTCCCATGGCCTTTGGCGGTGACGCCAATCACTCTGCGACCATTCTCCCAGGCGCTCGTGTCCAACGCATGTCGGCCTTGGAGGATGCCACATCGTCAGTCAACAATAGCGATAGGGGCGGTCGTCTGACTGCGTACGGTGGCTCTCAACTCGGCGCTTACGATTCCCCAGAATCAATACGCGGTGCTCTAGCTGCAGGACTCCCAAAGCGCCAGGGTTCCTTGTCAAGTCACTCGGCTCTCGGCATGCACTCCTCGCCCCTTTCTGGCTCTGATCAGAGCCGCAGCTTGTCTAGCCCCGATGGTCTTACCTCCCAGTCCGAACAGCTCCAATTCTTCAAGGACTACTACTCTCAAGATGACATCCACCCCAACGATACTGTTGCCACTCTTTGGGCCTACCAGCCTCGCGCTGGTGACGAATTTGAGCTTGAAAGAGGTGACATGCTCAAGGTTGTTGGTATCTGGGATGACGGTTGGGCTACTGGCGTCAGGATATCTGAAACGGCCGAGCAATGGGAGGCACGAAAAGCCGAGCAACGCGACTCGGGCGTTAGTAGCGCAAGTGGAAGAATGCCGTTGGAAGACAGCGAGATCAAGGCCTTCCCCTTGGTCTGCGTCTGTTTGCCGCAGCACTGGCGAAAGACCATCGAGGGCGATAGCGCAATCATTGGAGGGCACCGGAGTCGAGGTGACCGAGGGCCTCCAAGCCCTTAGTGATGCTGTCTGTATCTGGTCTGCTAATATTTCCTAGCTTCGTCTACTCCGTGGCAGTCCCCGCCCTACGCGCGAATCTGCAAGGGCGAGAGCCGTGTCGTATCTGCGCCTCTACCTTCTGTGAAGCGACCGCCACTCGCAGGGACGCCGGATGTTCACTCCCCAGGCTCTAGCACGCTCATTGACCTTGTCCACAAACCGTAATGCCGCCACGATAATGTCTGTTCACGCGCTGTTTCTGTTCCACATTTCAACACATGACCCCGTGGTCCTCGGCACTCCTCACCCCGTCTCAGGGTCCCCCTCTTTGTTGCTTGCTTTTGGTGTCTTCGGAGCCTTTAGATCTACCAAGCTCCGCCACCCCTGCCACGGCCATATCCTCATCCTTTCTTCTTCTTTTCTTTTCTCTGATGATTCTCGCCAAGAGATGGAAGGAACCGCCTGTGCGTCTAGTGTCTAATTCGCTCTTTACTACGCAAAGCATCGTCCATTCTCGTAAATCACGCCACCCCAGCGCTTGCGGCCACCTCTCTCTCTCTCTTGGTCGGTTTTACGTTTCGCCTCTGCCGTTCTATACCCAATCGCATAACATCCATCCATGCATGCGATGAAAACCCTTATTTTTATTTCTGTTTCCACTCTTCTTCTTCACCTTCTTGGATGAGGAGGAGAGAGCTTTACCCGTTTGCGGAGAGAGGAGTGTAGAGTAATTCAAAGTGTTGGAAACTCAAAGTAATTTGTACATATGGCCTTTATTTTGGCCCTTTCTAGCGCTGCTCTAAGTATCGGAAGGGGGGAAGGGAAAGGGTGTTTATAATGTGTGTGTGTGTGTTTTTTTGATTCTGATATACATATATATCTATATCTGTGTTATCCCCCCACACCCCCCTCCCCGCTTGTATGGGATACGCTTTTTTTTCGGTGAAGACTTTTTGGGGGGAAGGTTCTTCTGTTTATATGGTTGAAGAGCGACTGGTGGTGCGTTGTTGTAAGCTGTTGGTGTTTTTGTTTTGATGTGAGCGAAGAAAAAGGAGTGAAGAGGCCAAAGGGGTGGGGGCTGGGATAGAAAGTATGCGTGTTGTGCAGATATTTGTCGGGTTGCTGCATTGCGGTCTGTCTTTGTTTTTGGGGATTAGTCGAGGCGCGGGCTGGGGGTCTATAGAAACTTTGGAAAACTTGAGAGACCTTGTTATCTTCGTTTTCGCTCTCTCTTTCCTTGATTTCCTCATTTTCCCAATCAGGCTTTTTCACACACACACACACACACACACACACTCTCTCTCTCTCTCTCTCTCTCTCTCTCTCTCTCTTTCTTTTTCTTTTTTTTCTCACAAAGTACGAATATACCCATGGGCATGGCGCATAAGGCAGAAGAATGTCTCAAATTCCCTTTTTATTCATTTATTCATCTACTCACGTGTACGTGTTCGTCATTGACGTGTTGTCGTCAGTTGTTCTTGTCTGTATCTCTCTCTCTCTCATCACCATTGACCCATCCTCGCGGATCCCAAATATCTGTATCGTCTGTATGCACCACAGCTTCGCCTTGCTGCTCACCAACTGGCGCATACAATGCTCCTGATCCCCCATCAACACCCGATTCATCCATTCAAACGGGGATATATCCTACTCATATCCTATATACAATAAATCTTTTACCACCTACCTAACAGTCCTGCCACCCTTTCTCCTTCCCGCCCGGCCTAGCCCACCATCCTCGTTCCTCTTATGCCAGTCGTCAATCTCGCGGCGCACGCTCTCGCGATATAATTTATACTCGTCGCTTGTCTCGATGAGCAGCTGCGGACAGTGACCCGAGCGGCGGAGATGGCGCTTCAGGTTCTCCCAGCGACAGTCGGGTTTGAAGGTGCAGTTTTCCTGTGGACAGCGGTAAGGGCGAAGTGTCTGGGTGAAAAATTAGTATTTCTGTTACTTTTTTTGGACTCGTGAGGAAAACATGTGTGATGCACTTCCACACAAGGTATTGTCAGAAAAAGTCAACTCACCTGATGCGTTCGCTCGTGTTTACTCAGATTGCTCGAGTCGGCGCAAGTAAACTCGCAGAAGCGACACTTGTGCGGCTTCTTGCCCTCGTGTAGAGCACTTATGTGTGTTTGCAATTGTGTATGTGTGGTTGTCGTGTATCCGCAGCGATCACACACATAGGGTCGTTCGCCGGTGTGTGTTCTCTCGTGGTTATCCTTGGCTTGGTTCGTGGCAAACGTCTTGTCACAACCATCATAGCTGCAGGCGTATGGGCGGTAACCAGCATGGCCAAGGAGGTGACGAGAAAGCTTGGAACGCTGCTTGAAGTCTTTGGTAGAGGCATCACAGCCTTCCCATTGGCAGAAGCAGTGCGCGCAGTTGTCCACGTGCATGGTCTTGATGTGCTTGTGGAGTGCTTCTGGTGTGTCAAAGAGCGCCAGGCAGAGCATTCCAGGGCCATGTTGCCTAAGCGACTGTTAGTATAAGTCGTGCTGTTGCAGAAGATGTCAAAGGGGTCCAGAGACTACGCGGCTGACATTGTGCAAAACCTGCAAACCACTCACCATTTACAAACACATGTCTGCCCATCTCCAGTAGCAGTTGTAGCAGCGCCAAGTACTGTACTTGAACCTGAAGAAATCGTAGTGTCTGGACGTAAGATATCGTTCTGAACAGCAGAAGCAAGAAAATCAAGCTTGTTCATAGTGCCAAACGAGCCTGCTGGTTGATAGACGTTTGGGAACGCGGAATCCGTCAGCATCCAAGAGTGGTCATTGAAGCCCATGATAGGGTCTCCAAGGCTGAAAGGGTTGGTGGTATGTATTGAGCTTCGGTCGACTGAGATGGGGCTAGTGGGCAGACTAGGATTGAACCCAAAATTCATAAAGTTGGTGGCTAGCCCGTTTCCCTGTGCGACTGATGCATCCCACAAATCCAACTGCAGTTGTGATGCAGATGGGGCGTCGCCACATGCTCGACGGGGGCCGTGGCAACACGAATTGTCAATGTGACAATGGTCCCCAGCAACATTGAGAAAACAGTGTGGTGAAAAGGCTGTCTTGCCAGGTGCTGGTGATTGTTCGGTGGTGAAGGCACTTTCTAGCGAGGTGTAGTTGCTGTGTGATAGTGCTGGTGTCGGGGCGCTCGACGTTGTTGTCGTGACGTCGTCGGCAGGGTGGTAGTCATGAGTTTGAGAGAAGCAAGGATAAGTCTCAAAGGAAGCAAGGCTACCTTGGTGGCTGTGGAGCCCTTCCTGAAAGTGACACGGCGCATCGTCGTAACAGTATATTGTACCAACCGGGGTAGGAGCGGTGTGAGCGAAGTGACATTCGTTGTTTGGGTCACCCAATGGACAAGGTGCGGCGTTACACTTCTGACAGAAGCACGGTTGGTCTGGAGAGGCGACCTTGGTACAGTCTGGGTCCACGCAGTTGTCGGTACAGTGCGCATTCTTCTGAGTGCATCGAGGGTCAAAGCAAGCGTCGTCTTGGGCGCAATCGTCGGCAGGACACGGTACTGAGCAATCTGAGTGAGAAGATGGTTCTAGATTGCACTCCTGGCAAAACTTCTCAAAAGAGTCGTCTGGGAAGGGGCAGTCTGGCTCGGTAGCCTGGTGTGACTCTGTGGTAGTAGGATGGTGGAATTCGCCAACCTTATCAGCTGAAGCCTTGCGTTTTGTCGGGCGCACATCGATTGCTTCTGGGCAGTTTTCAGGGCACCTATTGCAACACAGCTGGGGGTCAAGAGGGTACTCTTCTGAGCTCAGACCCGCTGTTTGAATGGATTTTGGGTCGTCATCTCGCAATTCATTGGCGTCCCGCTTTGTGCCTGCAACGATGGGGGAGGGAAACATGGGCTCTGAAGCCCGGAGGTAATCGTCGTCGCCAAAGGCTGAGTCGCGATCGCAATCTACACAGGCGTTAGTCATTATGGGCGGCGGCTGGTTCCTTTGTTTGAAGGGCAGAGTCGCAGGCGTATTTGTCGACAATATGGAAGTGTTACAAGGTAGGCCATCTCGGTACTCAAGTTGGACACTCGAATTTGCATGGTTGCGAGGATGGACATGTGAAAGGGGATTTTTGGATGACGTACGTGAGCGTGACCCCTTCATTAGGCAAGCCTCTCTCGACTTGTCTCTTCACTTAGTGAAGTTTTGGAGACTTGAGACGGACGTATAGCGCTCGAGGGAGAGGGAATGCATGAGGACTAGCGCCTCGCGAGAATGCCGCCCGCCTATCACGTGTAGTTTTGAGCTTTAGTTGTATCTGTCGTCATTGGCCGCTCTTTGGAAAATCGAAATGTCGCATCCGCTCTGTGCCTGCGCTGTTGTGTACCACATGACCTTGCTCTTTCTGAATACAATGGATACCCTGGTCCTTGCTAGATTGATTGCACACTGTTTCGCAGCCGTATGTGTGTGTGCGTCGCCATTCACATATTAGCCTTGCCACGCCTTGTGCCGCGACCGCCATGTCTTCGTTGCAGCGGACTGGGCATTCCGGATTAGTGTGTGTACTACGACTTTAGTGTACCCACTCACCTGCAATGCGACAACGACCTGCGACTGATGGCTGCGATGGGCATTGCTTATTTGCGGCGGTGCCGGAATGTGCCAGTGTTGGAGGCAGATGGACAAAAGAAAGGTACCATGACATGACTGGCGACCCTGGAAGACAGTTGCATAGCCGGGAATCCGAGAAACGGGTACTTGGCGCCAATCCCACGCGTCTGCGTCGTCAATCCAACTCATCTCCCCCGCGCGCCCATTGAGGCTGACATGTCAGCAACAACCCTCCTTGGACCCTTTGCTCAGTAGCACAGCCACATCTGATCCACGACGACTCTCCCCAACAACCCTCCTCCTTCTAGCTGCCTTCTAGCTACCTTCTGCCTCCCACCACCTAAACCGCACTACCATATCAACATTACACATGGGCAACCTCTGCGGTAAACAGTCCAAAGACAACTTCGACGGCCCCGGGCGCACACTCGGCTCTGCGCCTGCGCCCACAACACGCGCATCCGTCCCCAACAATGCCGCCGCCCCAAAACCAAAAGTCGGAGGCCCACCGCGCACATTAGGCGACAGCAATAAGCAAGACGATCCAAAAGCCGCCGCCGCCGCTGCAGCCGAGGTACGTTACAACATATCCCATGCAAAGATACGCGCGTCCACTGTAGCGAATGCTGGCATTGTACTAGCAATGGGAAAGCCATGCTTGCCTACAAACACGGCCCTATACCCACCAAACAGCCAAACCCAAATGCTAACCCATGCACAGGCCCGCGCAAACAAATCCACCCCCGGCGACCTCCAAAAGAAGCTCGACGCCCAGAAACGCCAAACAAACAACCAGACCCTCCAGCAAGCCGCAAATGAGAATCGTCTTGCGCGAGAAGCAGATCAAGCGACCGAGACGAGGAATTATAATTAATGAGACTGCTTGTGTTTTGCATGTTTGGCTGAGAGTAGTCAGGCTTAAATGTTGCAAAGCTGGGGTGAAGGGGTAAATAATTCAGTAAAAAAAAGGGAAAGAGAGAGGGAGGGAGAATGGTGTATACAGATATGTTATCGTATGTATATAAACATTTGGGCATGGATGGGTGAGATGGAGAAGGAGGAGTGGCGGTGGTGGTGGCGGAGGGAATACCCCCATTTATCCTTTTGACGATTTCATGACTTTAATATTTATACCACTTATCTTTTTCGATTTCTGACTAATTAAGGGAAGTGAATAAGTGAGTGTGAATGGACATGGTTGTTATATTTCTGTTACAGGTTTGTTGGCATTTTATGATGCTAAGAGGACAGAGGTCAAGTGAAAAGGAATGTAACTCAGCACCCTCACTTGGGATGATTTGCCAGAAGGAATATGCACCAGTTTGGCTCGTCCCCACACTCACCCATACTCACCACACCACCTTCACAACAATCAATCATGAGAGGGCCTATCTTTGTTATTGTATATTTCTTATTCCCATTGCAACTCACACACGTCATGTATCTCTACATCTATCTACTTGCCAAAACACACACACTCATGCCTTCCGTGCATAATCTAGAGAGGAGATGGTATAAATCCAAGGGTATTGTTACACAGCCCAACAGAGAAACACCATCATGTCTTTTACCGAAAAAGGAAACATCATGGCCATTATAAGAGAAATGAGAAATCCCCTTTGCCCGCCACAAATAGACATAAACCCAGTCCTGGGTAATATGAGAGAAATCCGATCAGCCAACCAGGTCCTTTTCGATTTTCCAATCCCGTCCCGTCGTGACACACACATGCACAAGGACGCCAGAGAGAAAACAAAAAAACCTAACCGACCCAACCCAGCTTCCCACCACCCCATTGCTGAATCGCAGGGATATCGTTTGACGCATTCAAAAAAAAAAGACAACAAAAAACAATCGACTCGAGAGAAAACATTGACAGGACCGAGAACCCAATAATTTAACGAAACGCCGTCGCTAAAAACTATAGAAGCGACATGCCAAAAAGTACGAGGTTATATAGTTAGCCCAGCCCCCAGTCGCCGGAGCGGAAAAAAAAGAAGCCGCTCAACAGTAACGTAGGAGAAGGGGCTGAGCCGAAAAATTCTTTTTTAGTTGGTTCGGCCGTCCAAGTAAATCAGGTTAGAAAAGGGTGTAGATGATTAAAACGCCATAAACGGCGATATAATCAAGGAGAAGAAGTGAAAAACAGGTATGTAACTGAGAGTCGAAATTAGGCAGCGACTTCAGATACGGGGGCGCGACCACCACCGACAAGCTCGAGGATCTTGCCGGCGACGGCAGCGGGGTAGCCGCGGGAGAGACCCTCGTTGACGACGGTCATGGCGGCTGAGCGGTCATCGACAGCCATGTAGGCGCGCGTCATGGCTTCGTAGGTGCTGGGCTCACGCTTGCTCTCTGGAACAGAGTTGTAAATGGCTTTCGCCTTCTCGATGTCGTGAGCAAGGGCCCAGCCGTGAATGAGGGAGTTGGCAATATAAGGAGTCATCTCGACACCGCGGGCGCGCATATCGAGGAGAACAGACTCGGTATCGGCAATCTGGTGGTTGGCAACCATGGCTTCAAACAGCGCCTGGTAGAGGCAGGCCTGGGGACGCATGCGGCTGTCGCTAAGAACGGTGTCGAAGAGGTGGCGAGCACCTTCCATGTCGTGCATCACGCAGCCTTTAGCGTGGATCAATGACGAGTAGTGGACAGCCTCCGGAACGGCGCCAGCACTGCGAACTTGCTCAAGCACCTTCTCCGCAGCCTCCATATCAATTGGCTCAAGCGTAGCATAGGTGTCGATCAGTAGCTTGTAGGTGTGCGTAGTAGGCTCAATGCGCTTAGCACGCATGCGCTCGTAGTAGCTAAGAACCTTGCTGCGGTCGCGCTTGGTGGTCAGGAAGAACTGCATCATGCTATGATAGGGAGCAGGGCGAGGCTTGTAGTTGGGCATGCTCTCCATCTCCTCGAACAGCTCCTCAGCAAACTTCTCGTCACTGACACGGCACAGAGCGTTGACAATAGTACCGTAGGTAACAGAGGTAGGTCGGATACCGAGGTTGCGCATCTCGGAGAAGTAGAAGAGGCAGTCGTCAATACGGCGAGCCTTTCCAAGCTTGCCAATGAGGGCGTTGTAGAGGAAGGACGAAGGCTCAACACCCTCGGCCTTTGCGCGAAGGAAGATCTTGACAGCTTCAGTTGCTTCGTCAAAGGTCTTGGTAGACTCCTTGAGGGTAGTGATGTAAAGACCGAAGGTGTTGGCGGTAGGAGCAGCGCCCATCTCAAGCAGGTCCTGGTGGTACCTTCCAGCGAGATCACGCTGATTGCAAGTAAGGCAAGCAGCGACCATTGCGTCCAAAATAGTAACCCAACCGTATCGAACGATGCGGTACTGCGGTAGAAGAGGAACATCCTGCTTGGCGAGGTTCAAGATGTCGTGAGCCAGATTCAAACGGTCTTCCTTTGCAGCCGCAGTGATGAGCTTGGCATAAGTAAAGAACCGGGGGTGGCGGCCAGCCCGGCGCATGTTCCTAAACTTCATCAAAGCTTCGTTGAGGTGGTTGGATGATCGTCCGTGAGTCTTCTCGAGCAGTTCAGTGATAGCAACTGATCCCTTATTATCGGTAGACGCGGCATATGGATCATACTGATCTTCGAAAGTAGGTGCTGCAGGAGTGGTAGGTGCTTGGACAGGGTAGGCGGTAAACTGTCCTGGAGAGTACACAGCGTCTGGTGCCGGGTGCTTGTAAGCATACCAACGGTGCTGGAGGTCACCCCTGTCGAGCTTGGCAAGGACCTGTTCAACAAGACTAGATGTTGTCTTGTTGACTGGCGTGCCAGTGGCAGTGATGACTTCGAGAAGATGGGCGAACCGTGCAGCGTGGGCAACATCAACTTCGGCCTCCTGAAGGAGGATGCCGGATTGGACCTGCATCAGGAGCGTGATGTCGTCGAAGTTGAGTTGAACAACGGCCTCAGGTCCCATTCCAGCAAGTAGGTGGTGAGCAACTGGGGTGACTAGGCCGCCGTTTTCAATCATCGTCCACATCAGTTCCATGCTAGCCCGCGGCTGAAGGAAGATGCCACGCTTCATCATGAACTGTCCCATAACCTCGATAGCTTCGTCAATGTGCTCTACGATCTCCATCTTGGCTTGAGTAGAGCCAGACTGAGAGTCCCGTATGCGAGCAAACATCTGACGACCCTGACGAAGACCACGTTCCGCATGTCCACTACCAATCAATGCTATGCTATGCATGGCGGTAGGTTCAATGAAGTCGGGCTTCGTCGGCGACAGCTCGAGCATCCTCCAAAAGACCTCGGCTGCTTCAATGTTTCCAGTGCGAATGTGCATGGCTCCCATGGCCATAGCCGGTCGAGAGAGGTCAACCTCGGCCGGCAGGTCATCGAAAGCCTGGGTAGCGACCTCGACAGCGTCGCGGTCAGCAGCCTTGATGCAAATAGCAGCCATGGCGATTTGGCGGGCTTGTGGGCTGAGATACTCGGTGGCATGTACGTAGGCTTCATCAAAGGAGCCATTCTTCAACCACTCCGGGAGGAAAGCCTTGAGGCCCACGATGTCACGAACCACAGTGACTTCTTCAGGTGCAGTAAGCCCGCTTTCGATCTTGGACACGAACTTTTGAGCGCCCTCTAGGCGATCGCAGACTGCGTACGCTTTGACAAGAGCAGCGTACACGTCATTGTCTTTCCTGCTGATTTCAATCTCGCCATTATCGTTCGATATTGCGAGGGCCTTGTATTCGTCGTAGCACTCGACCGCGCTCCTCAGGTCACCAGACTTGCCGAAAGCGTGGATCATTGGCACAAACATGTCAGCAGCGGGAGTTACGCCACGAGATTCCATGTGCGAATAGATTCGCACCATATCCTCTACCCGGTCGCTCTCCGCGCACGCAGTGACAAGCAGTCTGTAAGTCTTCTCCGAGAAAGTGCGGCTAGATTCACTGCTGACAGCAGTATCAAAGAGCCTCACGGCAATTGACAGTGATCCATCTTCGGCCAGAATAGCGTAGTCAGTCTCGTGCGATTGGAGCATAAACCTTCCCTCTTCTTCCATTCCGCCATATCGTAGTCGCCTGTCCTCGAAACTTTGTTTGAGAGAGACAACTTCCAAAGACCGGACGGAAAGGAGTTCGAGAAGAGTGGTGTAAGTGGTGGTATCGGGAACGACGCGTCGACGAAGCATGTCCGAATATACATCCAGGGCCTTGGGAACAACCTGGTGCTGTGCACGGGGAAGGTGTATCGCTGCAGATAGCAGGGCATTGTACGCGGTGACTGATGGCTTGACATCGGAACGGAGCATAGCCTCGAAAACGGCAGGAACTTCGGCATAATTGCGGTTGATGGCCAGCTTCTGGAGCTGTACGGTATACTCATCGTGGGCTTCAATTGGGCTGGTGGCGATAGTTGATTCTGAATGGCTGAAGGTTGGCGATCCTACGAGAGTGTCGTCGACTGTTACAGAAGATTGCGAACGAACCTCTTCGATGGCGGAGACTTCGTCAGCGGCCTGTACAGATTCATTGCCAGCCTTGTGCTTCGCCACCTCTTGTGCAATTGCCTCGTCCACCTGTGCCAGCGCAATCTTTTCCGCCTCTTCACTGCCGACAGCCTTCTTGAAATCTTCTACTTGGCTGGTACTATATGCGCGATTGATGGAGCCACGAGCGGGAGCGGGAACTGGCTCTGCTGTTTCTTCAATAGCAACACTGCTTTCCTTGGCCTCGGCTACATTTTTGGCGCTTGCCGGGTCCCATTCGATGAGCTTGCGGAATTGAAACTGCGACCATTCCTTGTCGTCAGTTCTCTGGTGCTTCTGCCACGCAGTGTAGTATGCGGCTAGACCTGAGTCCTGGTGGTCGGGTTGTGCGACAGCGAGCGCCTTGAGAGCGCTCGTGGTAGACGAAGTGGATGCGAAGGCATGTTGGTTCTTGAGGCCTTTGCGGAAGCGGTCGTGTTGAAGGGAGGCGAGTGGATTGTTCTGGCTAACACCAGCAACTACTGATTGAGCATAACCGTGAGTGAAGCCTTTGGCAAGACTCTGGCGCGCGAGGTGGAAGCTCTTAAAGACCATTTAGGAATTGGAGTAGCCCTTCAGATGGGAAGGGTGAGACTGGGTGAGGATGGTCAGCACAAGAGGCCTGAGGTGGGAGCCTGAAGACGAAGGTGCTGCGGGGACTCGGAGATTGGCCGGCGCGTTTCACGACGGATTTTTTTCTTCTTGGTGTTTAGGCAGCAGAATTAGGGTTGCGGTGCGCAACTCGTGCGGGTGGGGAGTCTGTGCCAACGGACGAAATTATCATGTACGTACTATTCTCGAGATCCCTACGCGACGGTGCAGGTTCATTTGACGATGACCGTCAAACAAACGCGCTTTTCGGGTGTAAGGAGGGCGTGGGGTGGTTGGGGAGAAGCGGGCAAATGTGAGCAAATGCTACTGTGGGCTTCGCACCGTGGCGGATGGTGGTCGGGAGACGTGGTAGGGGAATAGGAGAGGGAAGAGGGAGTGGGAGAGGAAACGGCACGCTGTGGCCTGGAGGAAGATATTGTGAGCCACGAAGGCAACTTGGTTAGCGGGAATGCAGAAGGAAGCTTCGAGCGCACAGCTCGTAGTCGTCATGAAAAGTTATTAGGACCGATGGCATGGACGCTAACTTTGCCGAAAAATTATCGCACTAGGCGCAGTGCCGGGGGGCTGATGTAGCGTGGGCAGTGTGTGGTGAGTGTGTACGGGGAGAGGTGGATGTTTCCGGGCCAATGGCAGCCACGCGCCTCATGCAGAATGTCGGCCCCGGGCAGTGTCTGGCACCGCCGCCGTCGAGGGCGGCCATGGACTCGTAGATGAGTCAGGCAGAACGACGAGAACAAGACGGACGGCTGCACCCCACAGCATGTGACGTGCAGCTGATTTGCCTTTTGCCTCTGTGCGCCCAGCCCGATCGCAGAGCCCGTGTGTAGGCCGCGGCAAATCGTATGGCCATTGCGCAACGTGGACTCTGCTCTACTTACCAAGCACAGTCAGTATAGTTAAGTATACTACTACTACACCTAGTACGGATGTGGTAGACACACAGGCACGTGACGTGCTCCATCACCGGAGTCCGACCATGTTTGCATGTATGTAGTAGCACCGTCGGCCTCTAGCCGCATCCAGAGCGACTCTGCAAAACACTGTCCTCAGCGCTGTCTGCAAGAGAGTCGTGGCATCAGAGACCCACCGCACTTGCAGTCCCTTTACATCAGCCTGCCCACCCCGCAAGCTCACGAGCCCGCCGCAAGCAAGCCCTTCTCCTACGTGCCCGTTCGTACTAACAGCTTCGCGCCAATATCGTTGCTCCATCCGACCGTCTTACAAATCCGACTGTTCCATTGTGCCGCTGCCTGCCTGTCCTTCCAGCTGCTCCACTTTACGCCATGTCTTCCTCGGACGCGCCGTTGAGTCCGACTGCCGTTTCTTGTCCGGCCAAAGTCCTAGTCGCCGGTGGCTACCTTGTCCTCGACCGGGACTACACAGGCTTGGTATTCGGCCTGGACGCCAGAATCCACTCCCTTGTAGAGCCCGTCAAGACGAGGTCTGGCGTCACCATCAATGGCATTCTGGTCACCAGCCCCCAATTCCGCGAGGCCATCTGGGAGTATGGCTACAGGCTGCAGGACGGAGATGCCGGCATCGCCGTAACCCAACTCAGCATGTGAGTGTCTCATCTCTTCTGTACTACTGGTCTCTGTTACCAATCTCCATGCTTCTGCGTCGATCAATAGTCGTCTTTACTTTTTCATGTTGCATCTCAAGCCTCTTCCCGTCCATCTGCTCAATCGGGTAATGCACTCGTTGCAACCACCCAATCACACGTTCCATCAGAAGCAATGCAGAAAGCAGTCATGAACACCCACAGGGTTTCCTTGCAGTAGTCCAAAGCCATGCTACCTCAACAACCTTTCTCTGGGCTTCAATCCGGATTCTGCATTTACCCCCGTCTTGCCCACTGTCACATGACTGATGCGGTGGTTGAGGGTCTACGGATACCCACTTCACTGCATGCATCTCCACCGTCTTCTATTCTGCACTCTAGAACTATATACGCAATTATGTTGGTGCTATCAAACACACATGACTAACACCTACCCAGCGGCCACGAACAATCTATTGCCCAATCCCGCAACCCCTTCATAGAAACCGCACTCACCTATGCACTAACCTACATCCACTCCCTCCGCCCCAACACCCTCCTCCAGCCCTCCAACATCCGCATCCTAGCCGACCAGGCCTACTACTCAAATCCAGGCTCCGCCCGCACTTCCGCAATCACCAACAAAGTCTCTCGCTTCCAAGACTTCAATGTCTCTCTCCGAGAAGCCCACAAGACCGGACTGGGCAGCAGTGCAGCCCTCGTCACGAGTTTCACAGCTGCAGTCCTAGACTTCTACCTCCCTAAGGACCTTTTCGATCTCACCACCGAAAAGGGCCAGATGATCCTGCACAACCTAGCTCAGGCAAGCCACTCGTATGCCCAGGGCAAAGTCGGCTCAGGCTTCGACATCGCAAGTGCGGTCTTCGGATCCTGTCTGTACAAGCGCTTCTCACCCTCGCTGCTCAGCAACCTCCCGCAACCCGGCACTGCGGGCTTCACAACAAAGCTGCGCTCGCTCGTCGAGGGCTCCGCATGGGATACCGAAATCAAGAAGGCTGCCATCAAAATGCCCAAGGGCCTCCGCCTCGTCATGTGCGACGTCGACTGCGGAAGCGAGACACCCGGCATGGTCAAGAAGGTCCTCGCGTGGAGAGCAGAACAGCAGGAAGAAGCGAACAAGATCTGGAACGAGTTGCAGACCGGAAACGAAGCGTTGGCTGCAGAGCTTACTCGCCTGGCGACCGATGAGCAGGGCGAGGATTTCTCAAAGTACGATTCCCTCCGCCAAATCATTTCTCAGAACCGCGCTTTGATTCGTGCCATGGGCGAGAAGTCGGGCGTGCCCATTGAGCCGCCGCAGCAGACCCGTCTGCTGGATTACTGTTCCACCCTCGAGGGCGTCGTCGGTGGTGTTGTGCCCGGTGCTGGTGGTTTCGATGCCATTGTCCTGCTTGTTCAGGACAAAGATGAAGTGCTACAAAAACTCAAATCATCTCTCGCACAGTACAATGATCCAGAGGCCACTGGCAAGGTGGGTGTCATTGGTGTAAGGGAAGAAATGGTAGGTGTCAAGACTGAAGACCTCAGTCTGTACAAGGAGTGGGAGTAGACACATCAAGGTCATATCTGCAACCATGTCAAGGCAAGATAGGAAGATAGAAACATAAAAGCCTTAGTGTTCCTGTTTAGGTGTTAGTATAGAATGTTAGTCGAAATAGCAAATTCTAAGCAATCTTGCAAACACAATTGCCATGTCCTTTAGCATCAAAGTAATTCGCCCTAAAGCAATAGACGCGACACTGCCTGCGACGGTTTTGTGATACAACATGCGAATCCAATGGTAAAAAAGGCTCATGTAAAACGTAAAAGACTCCTTTCACAAATCATGAGGTATCATTTCCGTGCTTGTCTGAACTTTTTTATTCATAGATCTTGACATGGACGCCAACCCATTTCCGTTAAAGATCGCCCTGTCCGTCCACTCCCATTTGCTACGCCACCTTCCTCGCTCCTCTGGAGTATGGTACTACGAGTACACGGGTGAGTCGCTAGCTGGAAAAGCCCCGGCAATGCAATGCTTCATGAGACAAAGGAAGAAAAGAGAAACACCTTCGCAAAAGCACGCTTATGCCTTGACGGCGTACTTTCGCTGGGGGAAGTGTGTTTGCTTCTTCTTCTGCTTCTCGGTGACGAGAGAAGCCTCGTGCTTGGTGAGTCTTCGGCGGATGGCGCGGGTCTGCTTGGGGCGGAGGTCGAGAGGAGTGTACCTGCATGGCATTAGCTACTAGCCTTGCTACAATTTTTTTCCTCGTCTTGACGCACTTCTTGCCCTTGTAGAAGAGCCTGAGCTGAGCCCTCTGGTTGGCGTTGATGACGGTGAGAACCTTAGCGATGCCCTTGCGAACGTCATGAATGCGGGTGAGCTTGGTGTTGGAGCCTCCGGTAACCTTGGCGGTCCTGAGCTGGATCAACTCCCTTTACTTCCGTCAGCACTCCAATCCGTATTTTCCGTGTTCGATTCCTAGGCGACGTACGACTTGAGGTCGGCGAGCTGAGACGCGAGCTCATCCTTGGACTTGTTCCACAGCTGGGCGGTCTTCTGCAATGGTTGTGAGTACGAGGCGGGAGGCAGTGATTTGAATGATCGAGGGCTCACGTACGACCTTGGGGGCAGACTGCAAGCACTCAGTTAGCATTTGTTCTCTTAATTGTATAATTTCGATTTTTGCGCAGCACCACTAGCAGAGGCTGCGACTGCCCGACCCTGCCACTGCAGGTGCTCTCAGAGCAGCGCAACAAGATATCCCCTCCAGATGCAACATTGAGATCGGAAACGTACCATTTTGACTGTGTGTTAGTAGGACCGGGTGGTGTAGATGGGGTATCGCGTGTCGTCAACGATGGTCTCGTTGATCGAAATGACTGTGTTGGCCGGAGCGGTGTTTCGCTTAACTTTTCGCCGATCACTGATGTGGACTAGCGTCTTGGCAATGCATTGCGTAGTCCGCGCCAGGCAGGTGCGACACTCATGATGCCAGAACTCCGAGATCCGCTGCAGCTGCATTCACCTGCAGAGAGAGTGTAACATTCGACATGTCTTCCACTGGGGGAGGATGGGCGCAACTACGCCAGCAAGCGCGCACGCTGGAGCAGCAAGTAGGCTTCACTCGTTCGCTACTGCGGCGCATTTGGCCCGCTTTCACAACCGCCCTGCTAACGTAGAATGCTAGACTGAGACGCTGTTCCACACATATTCACAGTTCGGCTCGACACCAAACATTCCGGCGAAACCATCAGAGGAGGAGCTGCGGGTAGAGACTAGGCTGCAAGAAATCCTTGAGCAGCGGGACGCGCTTGTGGCTCAGCTATCACGACTACTCGACTCTGAATCCGCTCATGGCTCTTCCGCCGTCAAGCAGAACAACCTTGCCAGACATCGCGAAGTACTCTCAGATCACCGCCGTGAGCTTGCTCGTCTCAAGTCCTCTTTGAACGACGCCCGAAACCGAGCCAACCTACTTTCCAACGTACGATCAGACATCGACGCCTATCGTTCAGCCAACCAAGCTGAAGCCGATTATATGCTTGACGAACGGAACCGCATCGACAATTCACATAACATGGCTGATTCAGTTCTTAGCCAAGCATATGCAGTACAAGAGAACTTTACCATACAGAGGGAAACGCTGGCGAACATCAACCGGAGAATAGTGGGTGCTGCAAGCCAGGTGCCCGGGATCAACAGTTTGATGGGAAGGATTGGGTCCAAGAAACGAAGAGACGGCATCATACTGGCGAGTTTCATCGCTTTCTGCTTCCTAATGCTCTTATGGTTCAGGTGATTGTCTTTGATTTATCATATTCATACGCGGCGTTTGGGCGGGTGGGATATCCTCATGACCTTGTTCTGGTCTGTTTTATACAAGGCGACTGAGCCGTCATGATGTACAAGTATCTTACAACATTACAATGCTTCTTCCTGTTGGAGCGTTATTGCGCTTCGGCAATCAGCTTGGCGAACCCTTTATTCATGTCCTCCATCTCTGTGCCCTCTGCATTTCCGCTCCCTGCCCATCGAATCTTGCAATCTTGATCCACAAGATAGATGTATCCAACCCTACCGTTCAGCAAGCCAATTGTCTCTCGTATCCTCTCGCTGACTCCTTTCCTGACAATGAAGTATTTGTCCCAATCCTCTTTTGGTTTCGAGGCCTTCAACCGCCACTGGAAGAGTGAAATGATCCATGCCTTCATGGTGTTCTCTTCAATGTTAACATCCACCATCTGGGCTACCCCTGGATGCTGTGCAAGCATATTATGCAGATTGGCATTCGCCTTAGCGCCAGTGAACGTCTCCACCTGGTTTAAACCCCATTGCGAACTGTACACATTCACCACAGTAACCTTCCCCGCCAATACATTGGTCGTGTCTTTGTTTTTCCCCTCCAGTGTATCACCATGAAAGTTCGGAAAGTACAACGCCGCCTCTTTCTTGAAGATCCTTGGGTTTGCCATGAATGTCTTGCCTGACCTGTATTTGCGAATGTTCTTGAAGTCGCGAAAATAGTTCGTGCCCCATTTTTCGACCAGGTCCTTGCGCTTCTCCAGATTCCGCTGTGACATCGTCATGCCAGAATAATCTTTTTTCGTCTTTGGTATGCTAGCATTTTCGCCTGGTTGTGGGGGAGACTTGAAGCCAATGGGCCGGCCGAGGGGCTTGGGAATGAATATGTCTTCATCTTTGGGGTCGGGTGTAGGTGCGGACTCGAGAGCCTTTGGATCCGTCGCTGGTCGGCGGAGACTTTGGGCGGATGCGAAGGTCCGAACAAATGACTGCTGTGCAATTGATGCAGTTACAAGGCGTGTCTGACATCTCAAACATATTGAAGGTCTGGACAGCAATATGCGGCGTAGCGGCGCTGTTATCCGTGGCTGTAGCATTGTGGACGTGGGGTAACCCAGTATCTCCACCAGGCACGAGAAGTGATGAAAGTACGCAGTAAGCTTTGGTTTAGCGCAAAAGCGAAGAGTTACGGTAGACCGTTACGTAGTGTTGAGCAATGCTTGGCACTGGCTTTTATAGGCTAGTACGTTAGTAATATAATATAGTAAGTATGTGTACATTTGCACGTACACACATACATACACATGCATGTAACATCATTGAAAAAGCCTACCAGGCAGTTATGAAATCCGTTCCTATTCATTTGGCTACTCCTTGTATCGGTTGACATGGTTTGCCTCAAGTAACTCATAGTAAGAGTGGAATCCCAGGCTATAGTAGCAACTAAGAAGAACGCCCTAACGCGGTGCAGAGTAAACTGCCCGCCGTAATGTCAATTGAGATGTAAGCACGCCTTACTGGATGTTCTGACGAGCTGTGCCATGCCTGGCGCTTCAACAGATTTCCAATGCTCGGGCCGCTGCACCTGCCTTAGATTGCTGATGCTGACTTCCCCGCGTGTTCGCCCCTTTGCACTTTCATAGTGATACTCCGTTTCGACTCGTGCATTAGTGTGCAAGAGACCACGGACAAATGTCGTTGATTATCAAGCATGAAATCTAGGATTCGCGGTTTCTTTAGGCACAGTTGGGTTCTACCCACCGTCAATTCCAATATGAAACGGTTGATATGCCGCGTTGCTGACTTAACGGTCCGACTCCAACGGCACAGGGGCATGAACGCATATGGCAATGTGATTGTTCACCCCCGCTTACGGACCGAAACAAACTTTAATATCATTACATTGTTGCTATAACAGGCTTAGCACGTTTCAAGGAGTTGCATGAACATTCGAAGGGATATGTTCAAATAGCCACCATAGGAAGGAGACAACAGAGTAGCAGTTGAGCGTTTCTCCCACTCATTACCCTCAAGGACATCTCCTGCTTCCGTTCATTTCTTTCTTGCCGTCATTCGTCTTGAAGATGAGGCACGTTTACCAATTACTCGCCGTCGGAGCGAGCTTGTCTTCGATCGTACAGGCCGTCGATACTATCGTCGATGTTGGCTACGCGAAATACCAAGGAGCTGTCGTTGATTCCAATCTGAGAGTGTCTGCCTGGAAAGGCATCCAGTACGCTGCACCGCCCGTGGGAAAGCTACGTTTCGCAGCGCCGCAAGATCCCGTAGTTTCCGGTCTCATCAACGCTACTACACACGGTGCAACATGCCCACCCAGCCGTCCTGATGACTGGACTGTTTCTGGAACCTACTCACGCTTTCATATCGCTGAAGACTGTCTCTATTTGAGCGTGTATGCGCCTTCCAAGGCTACCACCAAATCGAAATTACCAGTTGTGGTTTTCTTCCAAGGAGGTGGCTTCATCTCGCAGTCTAGCGCCAATTGGGATCCCACCGAGATAGTTGCGGATGGCCAAGTCGTATTCGTTCAATTCAGCTACCGTGTGGGCCTGTACGGTTTCCTCAACGGCAAAGCGGTGAAGGAAGGAGGTGGCGATGTCAATGCTGGCATACGCGACCAGATCAAGTTGCTTGAGTGGGTTAAGGAGCACATCAGTCAATTCGGTGGTGATCCAGATCATGTTGTTCTTGATGGTGTCAGTGCCGGTGGAACATCTGTTGCGCTCATGATGGCGGCAAACACGGGCAAAAAGCTGTTTGTAGGTGGCATTATGGAGTCAGGCCCTTGGGTAACAATGCGTACTCCAGAGCTGGGTGAGGAGCAGTATGAATGCCTGCTTAAGGACAAGGGTTGCGCCAATGCGACCGACGGCCTTTCTTGCCTACGCGCGCTCAATGAGTCGGCCATCCGCTCTTCTAACTGCTGGTTCAACCCCAACATCGACGGCGAGCTATTCACTGACTCGCTCGTGAACCTCTTCAAGCAAGGCAAGTACGCCAAGGTACCGACCATCATGGGCACTTGCGCAGACGAAGGTACCAAAAACGCGCCACAGAGTCTCAACACCACAAGCGATGCAGCGAAATGGTTAGGAGGTCAGGACCCAAGTCTGAGCAACTCTTCTATCTCAATCCTTAGCGACCTTTACTTGAAGACGACGAAGCCCGCCTTTCCCGGCAAAGGACTCTTGTGGCCTGACGCTGCCAATGCAATTGGTGATATCGGTAGCCACTGCCCAACACGCAACATTCAGAACGCCATTGCACGCGACAACGTGCCCACGTACAACTACAAGTACAATGTTCTAGATCCAGCCGACCAGGCATCCGGCTTGGGCGCCTGGCACACCGTCAACGTCTACGCTTTCTGGGGCTTGAAGCGCACTGATGGCCAAGAGCCACCCAGCTACTCTACCACCAACAAGCCCATCATCTCTCAGGTACGCAGCTATTGGACGAGCTTCATTCGCAACCTGGACCCCAACACCGACCGCGCTACTCGTGCTGCTGAGTGGAAGCCGTACACCAGTGCAGATTCACGTGAGAGACTGCTCATTCAGACGAACAACACGAGGATGGAGCGTATGAGCCCTGCCCAATCACTGCGGTGTGATGTTGTTACGCCAATGAGCAATAACCTTGGAAAGCCAGTTGGAAAGGGTGTTGTTACCGAGCTTGATGCGAAGTTGGCACAAAAGGTGGCCGGCGCAAGTGAGAGTACTACGATAGGAAAGAGGAGGATGTCATCTAGGTCTTAAGTAAGGTTGAAGTAAAGTGCCTGGTCTTGAAATGTTGTATTCAATGTCTGTAGCAAAGTGATAGACTACTCAAAACAACGTATATATTGGTTTCTTAATCTTTTCCTCATATTCCCATGCGTAGGATTGCTCTGCACTTATTTGAAGTACAAGAAGTGAGATTCAAAGTATTGAGACGTAGAAAGTGATTGCCGGAGGACTGTTTGTAGCGTCACGTGATTTCGCGTCAAACGACAATCTGACACGCGCCGGTTGCCTGGTGGCGTTTCTCCACTCTTTCACCGATACGTTTTCAGCGTCCCGTTTCACTAGCAGTCCCAGCACAGCATAAATAGTTGCAAAACCGTTGGGCTCACGGCGCTTGAAGCGCAGCCTATCGAATATCCTACATTTACTTTGTCCCTAACAATCGAGTCGTAGTTTTGGATATTGGGTAGTATCTGGGACAAAGTGATTGCAGTATCCCTATGAACAACAACAACCTCAATCGTCATTTTTATTCTATCATCGATTTGCAATCGCGTTAGGGCGCGATGTCGGACCCCGAGCTCCTAGCTAAAATCATCTATTTCGAGGAACAGGCCCTTCTCAACCTTTCAGACGATGAGCTATATATCCCTGACGAAAGTGTGCTTAACCTTGAACGCGCGCTGGAAGAATCAAAACATATACTAGTAACCTCACTACCGAGCCGTTCGGGCAGTTTCAATGGACCAACGCTTCGAGAAATGCAGGCACAGTTCGAGGAGCATACAGAGAGACGGCGCACTTCTAATCGGCAAATTAATCAAAAGTTAATTCGGTCGACTACGGTACCACCAACCGAACCCGCCAAGAGCGTCCAAATTCCCAAGTCACGCAACGGTCCTAATGTAGGTACAGATAGTGGCAAAAGTCGTTTGAAGAGGACGATATCTCTGTCCCAAATATTCCACAAAGAATGTACTCCGTTTTACAAACGCGCGGGCGCCATTCCTCATGAGCTCAAAAATGGAAAAATTGTGAAGCCTGCCGATAATATCAGGCTCTTCACTGGAAATAAGCAATTGCTCAAAGAGAAGATCGTCTACTTCTACCCTAATGATGATATCTCCATGGCACGACGAAGACGCATTCACAAGGTCATTCAGCTTGGTGCTGCATGGGCGGATAAATGGAGCGATAGTATCACACACGTTATGTTCGATGATGGGACGTACACATATACTCAATTGGTGCGGCATCTCGGCAGACCAATATCTCCAGTACGTGAATTTCAAGCTGGTAATATAGCAAGCTGACAGATAATCAGAACGTTGTCGTGGTCAAGTTCGATCCATATGTGCCGCAATGTATTAGTCGTGGGCAGCTCTTAGATCCTACCGTTTCATACTTTGCTGTAAAAGGTACCCAAGGGGTAAGCGAACTTGATCAAGGACCAGACCTCTCTTATACATCAACTACGTCGCAAAACTCGCTACAGATACAATCCTCACAAAGAAAGAAAGCGACACAGGAGACACAAAAGACCGACTCTCATCCCACGGAAGAAAGTGTACCTTCCACTCATCCCTATACAGATGCAGCGCCCTCAAGTCCTCTCGAAGAAACAGTAGAAGATAGCTTCATCATGTCCTCTCCAGGGGCTGCTATAGTCTCCGTACAAAAGGGCAGAGATCAATTTGGGAATGACCTGTTTCAAGCCATCCAGGAGGCTAGATCCCTCGCGTACCTACCCATTGATGAAGATGAAGAAATGGAGCAACTTAGTTCAACATGTGTGAACACTATAGAGAACTCGAACATGGATCAAGAGCTATTGCCAATGGGTACTGATTACCTCAAGAGGCTCAGTGTTTTGTCAAAAGTATCAGCGTTTCGCGACAAGAAGTCATTCAATATGAACAGTTTTCAATGTATGGATCCAAGTTCCAGTAGCCATATTTCATGGAACCCAAACGCCCGAACAATTCAGATACTAGAAGAGATGTGCAAGTATTACGATAGTATGCAGGACCAATGGAGAACCCTAAGCTACCGAAAATGCGTTGCCACTCTGAAGAAACAAACGGTCAAGATCACTACTGCAGAACAAGCCGCAAAACTGCCTTCTATCGGTAGACGCCTTGCCACAAAAATCGAAGAAATCGTGCTCGCAGATCGCCTCCGACGACTCGAAAGTACCCGTCACAACCCCCAGGACGTATCCCTACGTTTGTTCCTCAGTATTTATGGCGTCGGCCTTGCCCATGCCAACAAATGGATTCAAGCCGGCCACCGCACCCTCGACGATCTCAAGACCAAAACCACCCTCTCTGAAAACCAGAAGATCGGACTCGAACACTACCATGATTTCAACTCCCGCATCCCACGCGCCGAAGTCGAAGTCCACGGCGCTATAGTCGCCGCCGCACTTAAGGAAATCGACCCAGAATTCAGTGCAACGATAATGGGAAGCTACCGCCGTGGAGCACAGGACTCGGGCGACATTGATATCATGCTATCACGACCCAACATGTCACCTACCGCTATGAGCACTACCGTCTTCGAAGTCCTCATTCCACACCTACAAAAGACTGGCTTTCTCAAAGCCTCGCTAACGTCATCCCGTTACAGCGACTCCAGCAGCTCAAAATGGCACGGCGCATCCTGTCTCCCTTTCTCCACCGTCTGGCGCAGAATAGACTTCTTGGTCGTCCCGGAGCAGGAAATGGGTGCTGCACTTTTGTATTTTACCGGAGATGATGTTTTCAATAGGAGTATGAGGTTGTTGGCACGGAAGAAGGGTATGAAGCTTAATCAACGGGGGTTGTATACGGATGTTTTGAGAGGGAGGAAGGGTGAGAAGTTGAATGATGGAGTGCTGATTGAGGGGAGGAGTGAAAGGAGGATTTTTGAGATTTTGGGCGTGCCGTGGAAAGAGCCGGGGGAGCGGATTTGTTAGGCGGGGAGAGTTATCAGTGTTGGAAAAGGTCTAGCTTGGATAGTGGATGAGGAGAACCTGGACCTGATGGGATGAGTAATGGATTTGGGTTTCTTGGTTGGACTTGAGAGGTGTTGATATATCTATCGAATATCTCGGATAGTTTGGACATAATAACAAAGTAATGATATTACACTCTATTTGTCTAAACTTTCGTCGCACACTACTTTTACTCTATCCTCACCTAATCATGCTCCATATTAACGTCCAGATCTTTTTTCCGCTGGTCCACATTCCCCGTACACCACGCGAGCAAATAAACACCATACATGACCTTTCCTTTCTCCGCCTTTTGTCCTTTCTTCCCATCCTTTGCCTCTTTCTCTGCCTTCCCAATCCACACATTCCCCATGAACACCGCCGCAACAACTGCTAGTCCCATAAACGGCAGTACGGAAATCAACGCCCACATAACCGCCTTGGCCGCTGCATCCCGCACCTCTTTCTTGACCACTGTCGGAACGCTATCCAGCAGTTCCAAACTCGGAATCCCAGAGCCACCCAGCGCAGCACCATCTGCACGCCGGGCAATCTGAGCCAGAAAAGTAGAAAGCTTGTTAGAAAACACACTTCCCATCATGGATATGCCCACAGTCTCGCCCAATGGGAGCATAAAAGAAAGCAGCGACTGCATACTAGGCACGCGCGTCGACCACACACCCGCCGCATGCAGCGCAACAGGCATAAAGCGCAACCCCGTACCTACGCCTGCAACGGCAAGGAACACACTAACCAGCGTCGTATATCTGATAGATACGGAGTACGTGAGCAGCGCGAGCCCCACGGCCTCGACCACGGACCCGATGAAGAGGGGGAAGAACGTCTGGCCTGGCCATACATTACACATCAGAGCAGCAGAGTAGACACCCATGCCCAGACCCGGCGTATAATACAACAACTGCACACCAGCCTGACTAGGCGAGTACCCCTCCGCGAGCTGCCAGTAATACGAGATAAAGTAAAACGCGCAAACCATGCTGATCCCCGCTGAGAAATTGATGATCATGAGGAGCGTGGTGTCTCTTTTGCGGAAGAGCGTCGAGGGTATCATGGGAATTTGGCGGGGGAAAAGGCACGACATGGCGCGGTTAGGGGCGAGGAGGTACTCGTGGGTGAAGAAGAGGATGCAGAGGATGGTGCCGATGATGAGGGGCAGGATGACGGCGGGAGAAGACCAGCGATATTGGGTTCCGCCCCATTGTGTGGCGAGGACGATGCAGCCAACACCTAGGATGAATGTGGTGAGGCCTGGCCAGTCGATGATTGCGAGGCCGGATATATAGTTTTTGTGGTGAGAGGTTGAAGACTGAGTTGTTGCGCGGCCTTGAACGAGTTCTCTGCGCATGAGCAGGGCGATGAGGACCATGGCGAGGACGGCGACGCCTATGGGGAGGACGAATATGTAGCGCCAGCCTGCGTCTGCGAGGTGGCCCCCTATAACCGGTCCTACCGCTTAGCTATTTCCAAACTCAGCTCTTTGTATAAATTGGACTCCTGCATACAAAGAAGACTTACCTGCACCCACTGATCAACGACAAGATGGAAATGCCACTCGAGTTCTCAGCCAGCGTCGTACCATCCGACAATATAATCCGGCTCAGATTCATGATTCCCGCAGCACCTAGCCCTTGTAGTGCCCGTCCTACAAGCAGCATGACCCAGATTTGAGCTGACGCACAGAGTACACTGCCTATCATGATCCAGAACATTTCGAACTGCAGAGCAAAGTGGCGGCCATAGATGTCTGCTAATTGCCCAGACATCGGGATGAATGTGGTAAATGTCAAAGTGTAGGCTGCTACGATCCAGTTGAAGTTTCCGGAGAGTTTGTCTGGAGATGTGGATTAGAACATGTGTTTGTGTTTGTGGAGTTGTCTTGCAGGATTGACATACCGAAATGGGATGATATGGGTGGAATGGCTGGAGCGACGATAGTGACATCCATGGCAGCTAGGAAGTTGGGTAACACAAGTCCTAACAGCAATTTCCATTGTCGAATCTTGTTTTCGTGGTCTTGAGATTTCTGCTGTGCTGCCTCTTCTGGAGTAAGGAAGTTGACATGACTTCCTGTTGAGTCTTGTGAGGTTGTGTGGTTGTGATTGGTTACAATATCTTGAAGCTCATGTGCTGATGTGCGCTCGGGTACTAAGTGTGAATTATCTGTGGTAGGAATGGCTTTTTGTGCTTCGCGTTCTCGGAGCTTTCCCCGGATAAACTTGAATAGGAAGATAGCCATTCTAAAACACCTGTGAGGTTATCCAGGAACGGGAAGAGAAACGAGCTGAATCCGATTTGATATCACTGTATATCCCCTGATACCACGTTGCTTAATACTACTTTGTTCAATGCGGTGACCTGTTTTCCCGAACATGTTTACTCGCTTGGAGTGGGCCATTGTGGCTGTGATGAGTGTGTCCTTGAACACAAGGCGGAATTTACGGATCTAGAAGTTTTGGTTTTATCCAATGGCGTCTGAAGGTGAGCGCCTTATCCTCTTCGTATTGCATGATTTGTCTAGTAGTCGGTTGTGCCTAATTGGGCGAGCTGGACGAGTCAATCGCAACACTGGCCTTGGCACAGCCCGGGAAATACCCAGTTGCGATTGGCAGGTCGCAGCCACCCCGATACGATGCAACTACCACTTTGTGTCCGGGCTGTACTCAGTAAGGTCGTCTCATACGCACAAGGCATTTAAGCAATTTGAAGCGCGATCAAGCAACGCTTAGCTCTCTCGAGCATTGCGTAGCTCGAAACATTCGGTGGCTTCTATGCTGCGCCTCCACCATCAATCCGATTCAGATTGGATGCAACTTCGGGGTTCGGCTTCATGTAGATTATCCCATGGCAGTACAAGACGCATAGGCAGACACGACCAGGCTCGACATGTAGATGCCTGGGTAAAAGTGGGATGCTCGTAGCTTTGTCCAGGTACCCAGTTGTGTGGTCGATTTCTCAGATACTGCGTTGCGTCTTAATTGTCTTTCGGATTGGTTCTGTTGATAGCCTTGGTTGCCTTGGGGCTTTGTGGGGTGAAGTTGAGCTTTGAAAAGTAATTGTACAATGATCCGACAAATTGCAGGGCACATTTTGGAACTTCGAGTGATGCCATGATATCGATATTATTGAGAAATTTCATCAAGAACGGGACGAGCGAAGTTGCGACGTCGGAGTTGATACCTTCAGTAGTTTATGCCAAGCCGGGGTTCGATGGTGTACTAGCCCCCACCCCATAAGAAGTACATAAGCAAGCTCGCGGTCTTTGTGCCACATCTCCGTGTCGCTGTACATCAAAACCAAAACATCCAGCATGAAGCCCATAATAGCTGTCACTGTAATAGCTGCGCTCATCTATAGAGCGTGGTCGCGGAACTCGCTGACTCCTGTTGGCATCCTTGCGGCATTTGTGACAGCCGTCATTCATACCTTGCATCCTTGGAGCGTTTTCACAGTACTACTTGGCGTCTTCTTCTTAGCCGGGAGTTCCGTCACTAAAGTATGTCACGTTTGTGCTTCAAACTAGACGGTAATAACAAGATATAGGTCAAGCATGACATTAAAGCAAAGCTTACTCAGTCTGCGACTGGTGCATCCGGTGGAGAAGGTGCGCGCAACCACATCCAAGTGGTCGCAAACTCCGGTGTAGCCTCTGTTTTAATACTGCTCCACCTCTGGCAGCTCAGGAAGGACGGACGATACGAAGATGAGGGTTGCTGTTGGACCGGAAACAGTGATGTATTGGTAACAGGCATCGTAGCGTATGGCATTCGCCTTTGGCCACGGACTTGATGCTGATATGTATTAGAAATTACGCCGCAGTCGCTGCAGATACCTTTTCATCTGAACTTGGAATCTTGTCGAAATCCAAGCCACGCCTGATAACCGCTCCATGGCGTATCGTCCCGCCTGGCACAAATGGCGGGGTGACCACGACGGGTCTTGGTGCAGGACTACTCGGCGCGCTGGTAATCTCCCTCAGCTCTACGATGTTCATGCCGTTTTGCAAAGACTGGAGCTTTGTTGAAAAGACAAAGTACACTCTTGCATTGACAGCAGCTGGCTTTAGTGGAACACTCCTTGATTCTCTTTTAGGAGCTCTCTTCCAGGCTAGCGTTGTTGACGTACACTCGGGCAAGGTTGTTGAAGGTGAGGGAGGAAGAAAGGTGCTTGTACACAGCGATGTTAGTAGTCGATCGGGGGGCAAAGATGACATTGCTAAGGCCAGCGGTACGGATGCAGCAGCATCGATCGGGGCTTCGAAAACAATGTTGAAAGCTGGAGCAAGTGGAACGGCGGTTGCAGACCCGCAGCATGTGAGTAGAAAGATTGAGGTTGGGAGTGATTTGTTGGACAACAATGCTGTCAACATACTCATGGCAGGCCTGGTGAGCTTAGGAGTTATGTTGACTGCTAGAGCTATTTAATATATGATTCGTATGAAGATTTTAGTAGATATCCATATTCATAGGCATTGGCATAATTTAGTAGGGGCAATTTGTGTGTGACTGCGAATTGGTGTAGCATCAAACCTCGAGCATTCGGACCAATTGCCAAGGCGCTAGTGAAGCGCGTCACTCCAGGTAGCCTAGAGCTCCGTTGATAGCAACTGCTTGACAACCTGCCACTCGACATCCATACCTTACTCTTGACCTAGTTCGACAACTTAACCAACCTAATTCAACGAGTTCGATACGTCGATTGGCTCTACATCACTCTCCCAAACCCCGCACGCCACTGAGATTCAAAATGGTGGGCTATCCCAAGAGCACATACAATACATGCACGCATTCAATATTTACACATGCTTAGTCTCTCCGCTTCGTCCCCGGCAAGGCGCACCCTGCGCAAACTACGCTTGAAACCTCTGCACCTTCAGCTCCCGGCGTCCACGATACCCTTCGATCTCGCCTTGGCCACACATCGGTAGCACCTACCGCTTCGTCGTCATCGACAGCACCAGTCGCTCTTCAATCTGCCCATCCGCTCGAGGCTCGTCTTGTCCAGTGGCGCGATACCCAAGACCGTCTGAAGATGGAGATGCTGAGGCGGCAGTTTGGTATTGCCGAACCCGTGCGTAGGGGTATGGAGCTGAAGATTGCTGAAGCGGGGGAGTGGAGACCATTAGCACTGGGTGGAAGCAGCGGTGTTCACAAAGATATTCTCCAGGGACGGGATTGTGAGATTGGCTGGGAGGACGTATTCACTGGCAACGAGCTGCGGGAAGTACCAGACTTCCACACGGAGATTGAGAAGAAGATGAAGATGAACTGGTAGAGGCTTGCTACATGACCAGCAAACCAAGACAGCTGTACACTGCCACCATAGACGACAACGCGGCTTGATCAGGTTGTTCCCGTATCAATCGTCTTGACGGATCACAAGGACATAGCACCCACCCACTTAGGGCGAAGATTAACGAATGAAGCGATGAAGCCAAAATAACCATGGTATTGTGGTGCTTGGAGAGGGAGGTATGATGGCATTACAAAGTCGTGATGTAGTACTAGATGAAGCAAGCAGTGGCTCTTCAGCCACCAGCCTGCCCCACGTGCCCAAAGACGATTTCCTCTTGTCAGCTTGCAGAAGCGGCCAAGGAGAGCATAGGAGGGAAGCCCGGGCCGACTCGAGCTGTGAAGATGTGGCGCAGAATGCATGCGATAACGCGACAAGTGCTGAGTGGACGTGACCAATCATTGCAAAGGAGCCAGTGATGCAGGGGCACGCGCTTTAACGACGAGTCCAAATATGGCATGTTGCGGGTTTCGCAGGTGGGCGAACAGCAACGACGGGGGAACCAGAGTTTGCCGAGATGGATTTGGCATGGCGATGCACTGTGAGGCAGTGGACGGCAGCCCGGCAAATGGAGCGTTTGTACAGCATCGTAGGATGTGTACGGAAGACGAGATATTGAGGCGGTGCAGAGCCGAGTAGCAGTAGCGGGCTGTTAGTGGAGACGACGGGTCGTTCTTGCCGCATTTGCGGATTGCGGAGAAGGGAGAGGGTGGCCGCGACGGCGACTTCCCAGTCGCGCACGGCCGGCCAGCCTTCCATCGTCCACGCATGAGCCCTCGAGACGCCTCACCACTACACCATTTTTTCCCCCCGCTGCCATTTCTCTCGTTGCGACGTCGAGGCCGACCTGCGAGTCGCTCCCAGCCCCCCGTTCGCCTTCCATTCGCTTAACTTGCCCGCAATCGCATCCATCGCGCGAGTGAAGTCGGCCGGCCAACCATGTCGTCCCCAGCCGATCAAGCCTCCACGGCACCACAAACTACTCCACACCAACAGACCTCAGGATCGCGGCCCCAGAGCAGGAACGAGCCTCCATCGACCGGTTCGGTAGAGATGAAGACCCTCGAGGCCTCTGGCGCAGCATCCGCGCCTGCAGACACGACCACGCACACTACAGACGCATCCGCTGTAGCTCCAGCAGCTACACCTGCAGAGCAACCCGTCGAGTCTAGCACCTCAGAAGATGCGCCCGTCGCTCCTTCATCTCCTGCGAAGCTCGCGCCCCCTTCTGTGCTAAATCGCGCAGATACCGAGGCCATCGGTCCGTCGACAGACACACCGGCCGCAAACCCAGACAATACGAACGGTCCTGTGCTAGTAATAATGCTGCTTCTTACCAGCGGCGCAAGGCATCCGTACAAGATTGACGAAAAGTACCTGAAGAAGCGCAGTGTCAAGGTGGAGAACATGGACCCGTACAACATTAGCGTCTATACCCTAAAAGAGCTGATATGGCGAGACTGGCGGGAAGGTACGCATACTTTTTTCTCGACAGTTTGTGCAAGAGTAGGGTGCGCTTATCACGAGTAAGCGGGGCGTCAGCCGTGACGCGCTGCTATGCTGCTCTTGCTGGTGCATTGTTTGTACCTGTCATCGCCCAAACAGCACTGTGAAAGAGACTGTGGCTCACAGCGCATCGCATCGCATTGAATTCCGTATTACAAAGCTAACTCGAATGAACAGAGTGGGAGGCTCGGCCCACCTCGCCTGGATCGATAAGGCTCATTCATTTTGGTCGCATGCTCGATGACAAGTCGCCACTCAAAGGTAAGGACCTCATTCTGGATGACGCCAAGCGTATTGGCACAGCTTGTGCGGTTCTTCGGCTGGCCGCACTAATTGGTTGATCTGATTTGAATGCATGCCTTCCATAGAAGACATGATATAGCCCCTGTCAAGCATTCACTGACAAACCGCAGAATGCCGATTCCAAACAGATACCCCTAATGTCGTTCACATGACTGTCAAGCCACAAGAGGTCGTTGACGAAGAAGAAAACGCCAAGACTGGTAAATCTGGGAGCCGGAGAGAGAGCGACGAAGAGCCCACGGCTACCTGCCGTTGCGTCATCCTATAACAGTACTCGTAATCATGCAAGTATCCAGGTCAAACCATCACCTCACCATGACACCCTTAGCGACTGTCAATATTGTATACGATAAGCAACAAGAGCGAGCAAAAAGACAACATCGATCGCTACAATTAGTTCCTTTGAGTTCTCTTTTGCGGCCATCATAGTTGGCCGTTGCGAACGGTATGAATTGTGGCGTTACACGAAGAGGTGGGCGTTTCTTTTCCAAACCAACCTATTCTTTTTCTTTTTTCCCTCACCTTGTGCATATGGAGTTTTCGTAATGGCCCGGCTGGTCTTGTAGCTGGTTTGAATTATTGTAGTGTATAAGTACGTAGCCTTTCGTGAGGAGCATTGTCGGTTGGGAGGAAGGTATTTGGGAATAGACCATGTTTGAATATTTTAACACCCACCACGCTGTGCAACATGCCCGAATATTCTTCAAGTGGCTTACTCATGATGGTGCTAGGATTATGTTTACTGTCATGCATTGCATCATGAGATCAGATCGCGGATATGGGCCCTAGTGATCCCGAGACTGGGCTCAATGCCGTCATCGGTAAAGCTTCCACCAAGCCCCGATCTCTCACCACCCACCTTCCCTAGCAACCCCACAACACTACAACTCTACCACACGTAACCAAATATGGTGCTTGAAGACGCCGACAAGAATGCCCCCGAAGGCTTCACAGACGATTCTTACCCATCCTCGAATGACCCCTACGCATCTTCGCCTGCCCATCTAAACAATGGCAATCGCTTCGACGCGACCAATCTTCCGCGCCCATTACCCATCATAGGCACCTTCATGGGCTTCTCCGAACGTGCCGTCCGCTTCAAAACCGAAACAACTATCAAATTCGCCGAGCGCAAGGTTGGCCGCCAGCTCAATCCGGAAGAAGCACAAGCGCTCGCATTCCACATCTATAAGCTTGAGCAAACAAAGAGCTATTTCGCTGCAACAGGCGCCACGGCTGGAACGTGGCAGTGGTATCGTACATGGGACAAGATGAAATATCCATTTTATCAACCCAAGGTAGAGGACATTGATGTGAATAAATTCGGTCCAGTCCGTGGACCAATGGCCCAGTTTGCACGACATACATGGCGATTTTGCCTCTACGTGGTCGTAGCAGGACAAATGGGTAGTATAATTGGCCAGCTCATCGCGCAACCTCTTGCAGCGGTCAACACAGCCAATGATCCCAAGCTTGAGCATTTTGGCGTGGATTTGAAGGCTTCGTCGCATGCCGAAGGGCAGAGGAATGCACAGCAAGGGCGTGAGATTGAAGAACGGCGTCGAGAGTTCCAAGAGCAGGTGAGGAGTCGTGCAGGTGGGGGTCCATCACCACAAGCCAGATGGGGCAAACAGCTTCCGGCACAACGTGACGATGCAGCCGACGATATGAGTCCAACTGCCGGTAATGAAGCATGGGGATCTGAATCTACTAGTTCAGAAACCTGGGAGACTTTTTCCAACAATAGTTCATCACAGTCGCCTCGACAAAGACAACAAGCAACACCATCTACAGGTTCTTGGAATCGCCAGCCTGCACAGTCGTTGTCGTCAACATCTTCTCTATTCGACGACGACGATGCCTCTCCCACAGGTGGTCTCTTCCAAGACGAAGTAAAGAACCCGCAATCACAATCTCAATCGCAACCCAAATCAGGCGAGTCATCCTGGGACCGTCTCCGGCGCGGCGGCCAGCCTGTACCGCTTCAGAAACCACAACGACAGTCGCCACGAAGACCAGATCCTGAACGCAGAGATGGATCTACGCTAGGTGATTCGTATTCGTTTGTCGGCGACGATGAAGAAAGTAGTAGAGAGCGTGAGCGTGCGCAGCGGGAGTTTGATGCCAGGTTGGAGAGAGAGAGGCAGGGTCAGAATTCTGATAGGGATCAGGAGAGAAATTAGTAGTACGAAGTATAACGTACCTCACGGCTTCGTCGGACACCCTGCTTCGCCGGACACTTTTGCCAAGCCCTCACTAAAACTACTACATTATAGCCCAAAACAGCCTACTTTAAACCCATATAGCATAATATAATATAATATATTATTTAGAGTGTACTTTTAGAGCCTACTTATACATTTACGTGTTACAAGTAACAAAGAAGGATTCTCTCCTTGACAGATGACGAGATGGCTGAAGGCCTATGGACGTCCACGTCAGAAGGTAATGATCATCGCGGGGCGAGGATCACGTGACCTGGCCTCCCGCCAAGAGCTGGCTTCCCGCTAAGGAAGGGATGCCATGAGGATATGGGATGCCACGTCCTCCCAAACCTCCCACGGAAGAATGCTTCTAAGGGATGCTAGGGAGGATAGAACTAGAAGTAATAAGGATATAAGGATAGATAGATTTTATTATTACTCTTGTTATAGTTAACTTAAATTATACTTTCTTACTAGTTACTTTACTTAATAAGATTGTTACTTGTTAGTCTATTTAATATAGATTAGTAGTTATCGAACCTTTGTTACCTTCTATTTAAGTACACTACTCTATTGCATCGCTAGACAATCTCTTACGGAACACTAGCGTAATACTTGCCTGCCTTAG